AATAAACCTGGTTGTATATATGACCAGGTGCTGGATAGAAAAAACAATTTGCAGAGTTTTTGAAGACTTACAAGGTTTTTGGAGACTGCAAGCTATTTTATTTTTATATTAAGGTCAGATCCACTTTTTTTGTTGCTATATCAAAGTAATTGACACTTTTAGATCTCTGCCAGTAATTTGTCTGACTGCAAGTTACAGTTGGAATGATCTTTAGTCATTCTGCCTCTGAGAAAATAAAAATAAAGTATTAGGTTCTATTTTTGTTGTTCAAAACTGACCACACAACAAATTGCAAATCTTTTCAGGTGGTTTGCAAATGCGTTGAATGCAGATCTTTCTTTAGAACAATTTAACTTCAATTACAGGGAAAGTATCAAAATTGAATGACTTTTTTTTTTCTACCCCACCATGGGATTTGAATACAGTACACAAAAAGGTTCTTATACACACACACACACACACACACACACACACACATACACACACCCCACAAAGAAAAAGGTCATTAAATGTCTGTTATCATTTTCTTTTGAAGACTCAGGCTTATCTCTTACTTCCCAAGTGAGTTTCCTTACCCACAATCATTTTCTTCTTAAATATCCTTTTATTTTCTCCCAGAAAAATAGTAAAATTTTAAAACATCATTTTAAAGGTACATCTAAGATTTCATAGCGATATTTTATTTGTATTCATAGTGCAAGATAAATCTGATTCTCAATTTTTTTTTTCTTCGTCTTCAGATGGCATTGGAAACAGTTGTTCACATTCACACATTTATGTTTCACCATATGCATACTGTGTGCAGCTCTGTTGTTTTAAAATATTTTTTGGTTTTTCTTTATATCTCAACTTTTGATGGGTGTCCTTGAAGAACTTGCATGAAAAAATGTAAATGTGAATGATTCATTCATTTTGAACATATGTAACTATTTTAGGAGATTTTCAGGAGATTTTACCCTTATGTGGAACACAGTGTTCTTAGCAGGGAATGGGCTTTATGTTACTATTCTGCGCACAGCTGGATGTTGCAGATGTATTGAGGTTGTGAACCTGTGCTTTTTGTATATCGTGTATATCATGTTTACTTTTTAAGTACATTCCCTGTATGTACTGTGCTGTCCTGAGTTTTTGGTGGTTGTCAATAATGGTCAATAGTTTTACGTGTTTCACTTTTGGGGAGAATTTACTATAACATGGTTTAACGTGGTATCAGGTCTTCCTCTAGATTTCCAGGTCACTAAAAGAACCCCTCCACAAACTGATAGTCCAAGGCTATATACTGTTGTAGTGGAGGGGTCACCCTAAACCTCTGCCTGTGTTTCATGGGCATTTTCCGAACTGGCCACTATCATATTTCCTTCTCTAAAGTTTTCCAGCAGAAAGTACCTGGGTATCCAATTGTTCAAGAGAGAGGGCACTCCCCTGAAGTGTTGGATCTTCATTTTAGAAACTTCTGAGATTCTTCAGAACACTCCACACAGGTGTCCTTGTGTTTCTCCTAGCGTGACTTCATTGACTTTGCTGTGTCTCATTGAAGAAGCATGAATGTATCTCTGGCTGTTTCCAGAAGGGGCAGCTATAGAATGTAATGACCCCTTCCACTTCTAAGTTTACTTCTATCAACGATTAGTTAGTGTAAAGGAAAAGGTCGGGACATTTTTTTAATTGTTAAACTTTAGAACACCTTTTTACCTTTTGTAATGTTCAGGATTTCATAACAATGGTTGTAATGTATTACTGTTCCACTGTTCTGTCTTGTTTCAGCTAGGCGAATCAGTGAAATATTTAACTCTTGTGTTAGAAACACTCTTTGAAAATGTTAGAAAATATAACATTGTTTACCTGTGATAAAGAATAAGTTCATGATGAGAAGAATTATACTGTTTTTCTTGTACAAATAATGCTTAAGGCAGATGTTCAGTCTCAGAGTGATGTTGAAAAGCATATTTTATGCTGCCTAAAAACTATTTCTGTATTAGATATTTAAATGCATGAGGATAAATTCTAATTGCTTTTTGTTTAAAACAGAACATAGAAGAAGCATTAGCCCCAGTTTGTACAAAATGTCTGCTGCAACTGAATTCATGATAGTTCAAAACTGAAAATCATTCCAATTTTGTAAAACTGCTGCTACTGGTTTTATCAATAAAGTTTTAGCAGATGGCTTATATGTACATGTGTGAAATTTTTATGTTAAAAAAGATACAGTTTTGCAGCATCAACATGCATATTTTATGAGTCTGAACGATATTACTTATTTTAGTATATTCAAAACCATTAGCTTCAAAACTATACCAACTGCAGATATGTATATTAGAACTATAAGCATTGCATTCATGATCCATATAACTTATTTAGGTTCGGGGTTCTGTAGGCTTTTACAGTTGGTTTTATACAAAACATATATTGCCTCAAATACCTGTTTAAAGTTTTGCATTTAAAATAACAGGTAAGTAAGGAGCTATATAAATAGAAAGATACCTGAATAACTAAATTGTTCTGGAAGAGGATTATGAGGAAGCAAAATGTAGGTGTTAATGTACAAAACACAGGTAATTTTTCATCAGAGGGGCCCCCCTCTAGAGCTCTTTCATCTCCATGTTTATTCAGTCCTGATAAGTCTACCAGGCTTATATGCAGCAAGCTCAAACTGGAGGGAGTCAGGCTGTTATAATCACATACCTCTATAGCAATAAAAGCATGGCTGACACCCCCCAAACAAATAAGAATCCATCTACAGATGTTTCATCTATCACCATTTTTACATGCTGTGCTAGTTGAGGTAAGTAATACTGCTGTTGTAATGAACAAGCCTAAATATCAGTGCATTAGCATGAAAAGGTTTCTTACTCTATTATCTGGGTTGGTTTTACCCATGCACCTTTCTCTGTGGCAACATCTTGGAGATGGATTCTCCTTTTGTGACTTGGAAATCTCAGATATTTATGGGCTCTGAAGGAATATGTCACCATGCAAACTGGGGGCAGGAAAAATATGAGAATGAAATAATTTGCTTTCAAGGCCAGAATGAGAATGGGGATCCTCACTCCTGCCCAAACACTATTGGCCAGATTTAGTCACACGGCTCTTCCTATAGTTAAGAAGGTTGGAACTGTAGTTTTTGTGCCCAGGAAAATGAAATAGTGTTGGTTAGAATCCTCTAGTCTGTGTCTAGTACACCTACATCTTCCTCTTTTTTAAAAAACAATTTCTTATTTCCAATGTTGTGGTAGTACCATTGTTTCCAGAAAGCTTGCTAATGGCCAGCTCATTTGTTGCTGAAGTTCTTGATCTGTTGTAGTACTAGAACATTATAGTTGTTCACCCATAGTTGTGTTGGATTCAGAGCACTTCAACACCAAGGGGACATGTTTGCAAATAAGATTATTTGAGTTCATATTTCCAAAGCCACAGGGCAAAGAGTTTTGTATGCTGAGGAGGGTTGAACATTTCTACATGTAGAACATTTCTACATGTGTATGGGCACTGATGCATACATATGTGACAAACACACCAAAGCAAATAATATAAAACAATGCAGAGGGAACAGATTTTTCCATATATTAATCTTACAGCACATGATCTGGAAAGCCTAAAACTTGACATATATTATAAATGACTGTAGGTTGAGTATTTCCCAATGCTGTCTTCTGATATTGCTTTGAGACTTACCCAGGCTTAAATGCTTAATTGAGATAGCCATGTCTGACTATGGTTCTTTTATTATTTCAATTTTTTTGTCCTATATAATAGGAGCTAAAAAAATTATAAACATGTTGAGTAGCATGTTATTGATGAATCAAATCACATTATATATATTTTCCAGAAAGATTCAGAAATATGGCTCAAGAGGAAACTGGGGTGGTGTTTCAAAGCTCTGATGAACTTTGATGTATATTCTACAACATAATAAAACATTTCATTCTTTTCAGCAGACAGATAAGGAGCAAGAGACAGGATGAGTATTTGTGGTCATTTTGAGGAAGGATAGATTCAATGGTGAGAAAATTAGAATTGAATAAATTTTAAGGCAAATTGTATGGCATTTTAATTTTTGATTTAAAAATCCAAAATTGTCTAATTAAAGATTTGTTCTAATCACTTAGTAGAATTGAAGAACTTATAAAATTATATCTCCAGACATCCATGGTTCAATAAACATTGTTCTATTTCCAGTTTTGCAACCAAGCCATTCTTGAGATTACCTTGACCTTCATTTCTTCCAACATCTACTCAATTTTTTGAGGTAGTCCCAGAAGAAAAGGGGGCTTGGAAATTATTCAGCCACTTTGATTAACAACAGCAAAGGTTTTCTGGTTTATTCTGATAAAGCACAATATGAGAAGACCTGCACTTGTCAGTCAAGTTTGCTAACTGCTCCCGGAATGGATTTGTTTGTTTGTTTGTTTTTGCTTTTTGGAAACACAGCATGTAATTATGAAGGCTGCTTTTTAAGGGAAGATAACAGATTAGCTAAGAGGACTCATACTTAGAAGGCGTGGAGAAAAGAGTATTAGAAAAATATTTAAGTGACTTTGAATTGAGTATTCACCAATGCCACTAAAACCCAGGTAGTGACTTTTATAAGATGCTTTGAGAATGAAAAGAAATTTTTGTATAAATACAATGTCTCATGAAGGCCAGAATAACTCGTTTCTGTAGAATAGTCTTTTCCCCCTCCCCCATTCCACTTGAACAACAAAGACAGTCACCAGTGGCTGCCTTCATGGTTGTGTAAGTTCACTAAGTGACAGCTACACAGCTAAGGTGAGAACAGGGATGTGAAGCCAGACAGGATGAATTCATCTATTGCCATGTGCTCTTGGTTCTCTTTGATGTACCAGACACTGTGTGCTACACACTAGGGATGCACTGTTAACCAGGTAGAAATAGCTTAAAATGTGGTGTGATGAATATTGTGAAATGGGATCGGTAGTGTGATTTGGGAATGTAATTAGGGGACTAATGTAGTCGGTGGGAGGCTGTCAGGGGAAGCCGCTATGAGGAAGTGGTATTTAAGCTGCGACTTGAAGGCTGAGTGGGAGGAAGCCAGGTGAAAGGAGACACATTTAAGAAGAGACAGCAAGTACAAAATACCTGAGCCAAGCCAGAACCTTCTCCATTCAAGGAAACTGAAAAACATCAGGAATGACTGGACCTTGAAGAGCCAGGGGGGGTCTCTGTAGATGAACTGGACAGGAAGGCAAGGCTGACAGCACTGACAGCAGCCCCTCACATCCTCTATTGCAAGTGAGAAGGAAGTTGCAGTGGGGTAATGCTACCTGCCACTGTCTCCTGGGTTGGAGGTGTGTGGGTCTCAAAGCCTCCTTTCTGACCTGGTAGCTGAGAATTGATAATTGATATTAATAAGCCTACTTTGGCTTATTATTTAGTTTTAGGTTGTCAACTTTTTAAACCTTAAGCCTGACAAAATGTCAACTCCCAGGTTTTCCATAGGCATCCAGTAGGTACCCTGAGAGCTGAAGGCCATTTTACTTATCCTCTTCAGCGCCCCAGAATGCTGGCACGATAAGAATCAGCATAACACTGCACAGCAACCACCCCTGGCTTCAAAGACAACAACTTCTCAATCCTTTCCCACTTTCTATGTTCTAATCATCACTCTCCCCAATGCTGTTTAGCAACAAAATAAGAAGCAATAGAAAAAACAATGCTTGAGTGAGATATCCAAGAGAATACAAAATTTTGAGTAAATTTATATTAAAATGTAAATGATTGAGATATGCATACTTTCTCTAATTTTCCTTGTGAAAAGTACCTTTGTTTTGTGCATTTTATTTTAAAGAAGTTTTTATATTTGCTGGAGGTTTTATTTAGCTCTTGGATCAAAACGAAATCTTTCTAACTGTGTGAAGAAAGTATTTTCGATCACAGGAACATTTCTTCTTCTTTTTTTTTTTTTTTTTCCTTCTGAAATCTTTGGTACCATGCCACAACCACAGAAAGAGCCAAAAGGAGTTAGACTTTGCGCTGTTTTGCATGGGATTAGTTAGTATTTCCCTCTTCAAAATCTACCAACTGCTCAAATCCGGAGAGACACAAATCGCAACACGTGTGGGGGAGGGGGCATAGGAGAGTCCCAGGAGGCAAAAAGTCCTTTACTGCTCATCCTGCACCGCTGCATCGCTTCATTCGTCTCTCTCTCCTTTTCTCCCGCCCCCCTTCTTTCACACACACACACACACACACACACACACACACACACAGTCTCTCCCCTATTGAGGTCTACAGAATCCTACCTCTTCTTCAGCCTCGGAAAGTACCCACTGTCCGCAAAAGCAACCTCCCCATATAAGATACTCATCTAGGGCCTACAGCCGAGTGACCCTTCCCTGGGACGTGAGGCTCTTGTCACCAGCCTAGGTTCCTGTCTCTCACCCATCTCCTGCTCCCCTTCCCATTGTCCTGGACCCAATTTAGGCGAGCGCAGCCGGGATCCTTCTGTTCAGAGCTGTCCCTCCTTGTTACTGCTCTCCACCTTGCTCCCAGCAGCCCCCGCCAGCACACCCGACCTACAGGAAAGTTGCTCCGGAGCTGTGGAGGGGCGTCATCGCCTCCTAGCAACGCTCCTAGCAACCGGATAACATCTGCTCCCTCTGGTCCAATGCGAGCCGAGAAGCGCTACGCGCCCGCCTTGCGTTCGGAACCCGGAGTGAGAGGCGCTTCACAGACTGGAGGGACCGACCTGCAGGAGCCAGGGTTGCCCGCCGAGCTGCAGTTGCCGCTGCTGCCGCTGTCGCGCCGCCGCCACTGCTGTCGCTGTTGCTGTCAGTGCCGGTCTGAAGCGTGCCAGCGCCTCAAAAGCACCAGTGAGCTCCGAACTCCGCGCCTTTACGAAACAGGTGCATGCGCGATCTCCTGGTAAGTGGACCCAGCTGGTAAGGTATGTCAGGACTCCTCTAGCCAGGCACCCTTCAGAAAAGATTCATTACTGAGGGGGAGACTAGGGACATGTTACGGGATCCCACTCCACCCTCCCGCCATTGAAAAGTGGCCAGCTGCTCGTCCCAAATGACCTGATTTGATTTTTTTTTTTTTTTTAAATCTTGGGATTGGTTCTTGAGGATTACCCTGCTCATCACTGTAAGGTAGTGTTCAGAAGTTTTCGATTCTCCTTGTTTTTCTTTGACTTCTCGGCCGTTATGCAGTTAGGAGAACTGGAAGCAGCAAGCGCCCATAGGGAACCTATGGTTTAGGCTCAAATGACAGTGTAGTCTGGACTAATTGAATCAACACGTTTGGAGAGCAACATTCTTTTTAGATCCTCCTCTGGAAAGGGTCCATTTGGCCAGGAGCAGCATTCAGTGCTACTCAACCTCCTGAAAAGTAACCATAGTAACTCACCTCTCTTTTGATGGGATCCTCCTTATTGGCTGCCTATCTTCCTTTGGAAAGCTCATCTCTCTAAATATAGAAGATGATGAGATCTGTAAGCATACATCCATGTAGAAAAGGTGCAGTTGAACACGGCCCTTTAAAGAAAAACTGTTTTCAAAGAAGTAAGCATTTGGCTATTTCAAATCTTCCCAGAGCAAGCATGTATTCCAGAGAAAGACAGTCTGTTTTGAGTTAACTGCTGCTTTGTTACTTCAGAGGGAATACTTCCTGAAATCATACAAAATCTGGCACTTGAAAACAAATGAAGGATATCTGAAGCTGATTTTCCTAAATTACCCTATTGATAATCTTCACAAAATAGTCACCCAAGTAAATAACTGGTGACATCAATTATCAGTTGTTTCCAAATGTCTTAGGATACCCTAAATCTGGAGAACATTAAAGTGACTGTGTGTTTGAAGCCTTATCAATCTGTCTAGTCCAGATCAGCCCCACCTCAAACATCTTAGATAATGTCCTCCCAGTACTTGCTTGATCCTGACTTGATAACCAGCTCATATCAATGCAGTCCTGACTTGTCCGATGTTATTTGTGTCTATCTCCTTGTTTCAAGATCTCAGGTAACCATTCATGAGCCCCAGGCTGTGAGAAATGCTTGCTGTGCAAAGGGGAACTCTCACCAGATTTTCTGAAGCTGTCCTAGAAATATACTTTTCAGATTGAGTCAGCATTACCAGGTAATCACTGGCTTAAAAGAAATTACTGTTTAAATATGTATCCAGTGAAATAAATGCTAATGTAGCATTACCATAACTTACAAGATCAATAGAAGGGGTTGTTTATATAGACGGTTGCTGGGTAGAAGTCAATAGAGGTTTTCTGTAAAAAGGACATTTGTGGGCTGGCAGATTTTCCTCTCTAAGACCCATGTGAATAGGGTGGGCCAAATTAGGTAGCCTGGCTCCGGGAACATGTCAAGTGTAAGCCTTCTGAATACCCTGGTGCATGACTGATTGGAGAAAATGAAGAGAACTCTCCAAGTTGCAAAAAAGAGATTATGGTAATGTTTTAAATTTAATTTGCATTAAGGTCATGATGATAGAAATCTATGAGTGCTAAGCACTTGAAACTCAATTTTTAAGACTGAATACAGTCTTTAAGTGAGTGTTTAGCTCTGTAACACTGTGTAACTTTCGCATGTCCTGAGCTATCCATGTGCAGTTCCTGTAGATAACCAGCCTAGCAAATTGCTGTCAAATTCATAAAAATATACCATGCTGCATTTCTGCCTATGTTTTACCTCCCTTTAGGAAAACAAATAGTTAAACAATTTTCCTCAGAAACCGATTTGAAAATTTATTCTGGTCTCATGGTATAGGTTTATGAATATCATGAGACTGAAATTATTGACCTCTGTAGTTAGTTATTGAAATATCTATGGTTTAATAATAATATTAATAATATTATTAATAATAATACTAAAGATAACCATTCAAACCATCAAAATAGATTAGATTCACTAGATGTTAGCACCACCCACTCTTCTTCCATTATAATTACTATATTTTATGGTGACAAACAAATTCAAGGAGACCAATGAGATTTACTGTCATCTGCCATGAGATGTGTAGAGAGTTCTAGTCATGCCATTAATCTTAGGAAAGTTTGAGTAAAGTAGCCACAATTATTGGTTCATGTATATGCATTAGTTCTGTGCATTATTAATTTATGTACATCCTATCCCTTATGTAATATGCATAGAAGTTTAAAATCATTTGGTGTCCTTTAATTTATGTAACCTAATCTGCCCTTTCATTGAGACTACTGTCTGATTCCAAAGGTCAAGTAAAAGAGGTTCTTAAATTTTAATTTTGATTCTATTATGAGTGTTTAATATGTAGACTACATATTATGAAATTTTGGTGAACAGAGCTATCTAAAAGTAATTAATCAGAAAAATGTTATCAGAGTGTTTAGTTTTAAATAATTAAAAATAAATAAAATGTTAGCATTGTAACATAAACATTTGATCCTAGACACATTGGTGGCTCCACAGAGTGAATGCGGCGCACTGATGAACAAAAAAAAATGAACACTTTTTGTGAAAAAAAAATTCCAATTTGTATTTAAGGATGTAGTTACCCCCTTCATCAGTGCAAATCTAGCTATGCTTGTACATATTATAAATTGTAATGGGGGCATGTACTTAGGGGGTCTAACACTTTGATAAAGCTGGGATTGAGCAGGTTTATAGTACAACCAAGTTCTAATTTCAGTCTTTTTTCATATGTCAGCTATATTGGGAAGTTTTTAGGCAGGTATGAGCATGTTAAATTTCATGTCATGAGACCTTCATAGGATTTAGAAGATGCCATGAAACACATTGAAGTATTCAAAATGTGTACCAAGAGGATGAGGCCCTTGTCTCTCCACCTGGGATCTCTACTGATGACTCATGCCAGCTGGCTGTAACAGTCAAAACACTGACATCCCAACAATACTCTAAAGCCAAAGAATAAGCAGTTCAGATTGCTCTATTTGTCAAAGCAATATGCTTCAGGAACCCAGACAAAACTAAAATGAAATAACTCTCCCAGAAGGAGAGGCAAGAGTAAATTGACCCAAACCACTCCGCACTGAAGCTAGGGAGGAAGAGGCATCAGAAGCATCCCTTCAGATTTTGGGAGGAGCAAATCCTTGACAATTCTTTTTTCCTGTTTCTTTTTTTGTAAAAAAACAAGTTCATCTAAATAGCATTGATACATTAATGCTTTCCCTTTTTAGTTTAACACAATTAGTTTAAATGTTTTTCTCATTAAAATTATACAAATGGGCCAATACAGAGCCTTCCAGTTCACTGAAATGTTTCTCAGTAGGATGGTGGAGGATAATGGAAATCACTATGGGTTTACTAGTGTTCTGTCCAGGATTTTAATATGGCCTCATATTTAGAAAATAAAATACTTGTTTTTTTATATTATAAACTATAAAAAGTAAAATGCAATAAATCTTCATTGTTGAGCTACAAGAGTCTTCTAAATATCAGTGGTGCCTAGCTGGAGAGGAGAGATGAGTTTGTGGCTGGGAATTCTGTAGGGGTGTTTAAGAGGATGTGTTAGTTAGTTTTTAAGTGATTATAAAAAGGGACTAGAGGTTAGGGGCATCTACAAAAGCTAGAGATGTTGCAAAGAGAGTCAGACCCAAGAGCCTGGAGGCATGATTCTGTCCCCAGGTGCTACTTGGTTTGCCACTTTATGTCTCAGTCTCCAGAGTTAATGTGAGGGATACCATCTATTAACTTAAGTGGTTGCTGAGCTTGAACACAATGCAATTAATTTAACAAAGCACAGGTGCTTAGAAGAAAGGCACCCTGTGAATGAAGACCACTTTCTGTCCAGAGCATCTCCACCTGGGAGTACCATATGAATGAGGACAGAGAATCACCCAACTCTAGAGTGAATTCCAATATGTTCTTAATGAGTAATGCTAATGCTCATGTTGTTCTAAAACCCTTCTGGGATACCACAAGCAACAATGGCCTAGAGAGATGTTTTTGTTGATGGATCTAAATGTGGTTGGGTGGGTGGGGTTGTGATGGGGATATCAAAATGAAAGATGATCAGGATGATAGAGATCAGACACCTTCCAAAAGGCCACTACCATTCCTAGGCTGGGGATTAAGATTCTCCTTTATGAGTGCCAGTTCTGGGTTCCTAAGGAAGTTTAGCCTTTCTCCAAGAGATTATTGGTTAAGATATTTCTTGGAAGCAATTTCCAGAAGTGTGGTTGCATGGCCAGTTTTCTCTCTGATTTACTCCTACTTTGTGAGGTAAAGGTTGGAGTCAAAGGAGCATGATCCCTCAAAACAGGAAATGCACTTCTAGAGGGTGGTAAGTCAGAGAGGGCACTCAAGAAGCTTACTACACTTGATCTCCATCTCAGTAGCACTAGATTATTGGACAACCTGGCCTTGGTACAGGGCCTAAGGTAATTTCATGATTGCCTGACTGGTCATGTCTCATTTAATGGTGTTCTCTTTGGGTCAGGGAGCATTACCCAAGGAACAAACTAGGTTCGTGGAACTGTTGCTGTTCTGTTTACTATTCCATGCCTGTATTTGGAGCAACGTCAAGGCACATGGAATCTTGTACCAGACAATGCTGCTGGTATTTGAGAAACCCATGTAACTCAGTGGCTGTCAGTATCTCTAGAAGTTCCCAACATAGTCTTCCAGGAGCTGCAACTTGTTGCTGATGCTAAAGTGCCAGGAAAGTCAATATTTTACTTGGGGTAAATCTGAAGAAACTGATTGCTCCATTGATCCAGAGCTAAAAATTGACACTGAGTTCTGATATCATAGAGCATATTCTACAGAAAGGTGCTAGGCAGGAGGTTATGAAGAAAGGTATCTGATGAAGTATCGTCAATACTAAAGGTCCACAGAAGGCGCAGCATTGCAGCTTTGAACTTTGTACCCTTCTACCTTTGTGAATACACTCATTAATGTTCTATGCAACCTTTGC